CCTTGCGATTCGGATGGTAGAAATAATTGAACTGCCATGCACATTCCTGGCCAAAAAAAAAAAACACACACTTAAGGTTTGAAACTAAACACCATTAATTTTAGCTTTCACTTCGAAGCAGTCTGAAATTTGAAACATATCTGCATGGTTTATTCACTTTTTTATATTTCTCTAGTATACATCTGCTGAACTTAATTACATGCCATTTCTTAAGCACTAAATTATATGCCATTTTCTCTTGACGGATAGACTTCAGGAAGTGCTTGAACATTTCCACATGAATTCTTTGCAATCAATATCCAACATCACCATGCCTTGCAACTACTTCAAGAATTAAGATCTCATGTAATTGCTTCATTCAGTCACCTAATAATTTAAATGTAGAAAGAGCTCAAAAACTTTTCATCTATCAATTATCATAAGGAATATTTGAAACCAAAATAATATATAGAGAGAAATCTTGTTTTGCAAATTATCTAAAATCAAAACTATACTATTTGGGTTCTAGCCACTACTACCAAAATTTTGGCAGCACAAGTGTTGAAGGACGTGAGCCTTAGTAATATTCACTTGTGTCAATCACCTAATAGATTGATCGGTGTCATAATCTCAATTATTGGTTGATGTAAAGGTCACCACGATTAGTAATAAAGGCAACATGTCACTTTTATCATGAACTGCTCATTTAACTGAACGCATTCAATTCTAACCTGATTAAGGTTCATAAGACTTCGGAAATGGAAATTGAAATTGTGACGGAGTCACAATAATTGAGACCTAGTTACTAAGACACAATTCTATTAGTTGTAGGATCACGAACTTAGAACATTTGTGATGCACTTTAGATTGGTAGACTATTGATCACTTGCTATTCGTTGCAAGAACAAGTGCTAGGTGCTCTTAAAATGAACTCACTGAGCTTGCGCACTTAGATTCCTTATATGAGGGTTAATTCCTTGTCAAGCATGGGAGATATATCATAACAGTGACACAAATTAGTCTTTGAACTTGAGATAAGCACAATTATCTCCTGAATATTCAGCTGTACCTTAATGCCATTGACCTATGGTCTGTGGTTGTATAAAGGAAGTCATTGGTGTAGTCTACAACTCATGAAGATGAGTGAGTACCAAGTAAAAATATTGTCACTCTTTTTTAAAAGAAAAAAAGAAACTATCACTCTTAAGTAAAAAATAGTATAATCCAGTGTGAATGAGAGTTCTAGATCCAAAAAATTCTCAAGCAAAGTGAAATCAATAAAAAAGAGTTCTTAATTTGATCCAAATGAATCAATTCAACCAATCGAGTTTTTTTTTTTTTAAATAAAAAGTATAAGATACGTATATTAAGTAAATGCCATGAGAGTGTCATCCATATACAAAAAATTTATATGTCAATAAACATATTTATAATGACCACAAAATCCTCCATTCTATAAAGATTACATCTCAAAATAATTGATCCAAAATAATGAAACCACTTATTTTAAATATTCACAATATAATCTTCCTTACTTTCAAAAGCTCTATTGTTTTTCTCCTTCCAAATAACCCAAAAAATAGACAATAAAATTAGCGAGCAAATATGTTGTTCCTACTAAGACTCTCCCAAGCCATTAACCCGTTTTCACCAAGCCCACCATAGCCAATTGATACCCATAAGACTACAGACCATGATCCACAGATTATAAGAGAGCGGACATGACATCAGAGTAGAATGTGGTTGTTGGTCTCTGTAGTGCTTTTGTAAAGTAAGCATCTGTTCACCAAGATTTTCCCTCTTTTCATCAAATTATCAAATGGTCAGAATGCATTCGTTAACCGCTTCCCAAACAAAGAAAGAAATTCATGGGGGAATGTGCCTTCCAAATGGTCTAAGAAGGAAAATCTGCACCCCATCTCCTCGTATCCATCCAAGTGCTTGTAAATTGACAGAGAAGTCACCATTTTCCTTCAGATTCCATATCGTCATATCACTCTTATTGTTGAGGTGGACGGTGGCCATGAGCTAAAGTAAATTTCATACTCAGCCACCTTCCAGTCTTGCAAGTATCTATTCACCACCACTGCCCATTCCCAACTATTGGCACCCCTGAAAGCATCCTCAATAGGTAGATTCTTATCTTATGCAATAGCAAAAATCATAGGAAACCTGGACATAAGACATTCCCCTCTGCACCATTTATCTTGCCAGAATCTCACTCTGTAGGCCTACCAGAACAAAACAATTCTTCTCCAAATGTACCAAAAAAATCCTTTAACAAGAAAACGTGGAAACTAATAGTGAAGCGTGTAAAGGATTAGGGGAAAAAAAATACTGAATAATTTTTGTATTTCATTACATAGGATTAGGAATATATATACATAGAAGAGTGATCTATATATGAAAACATAAATCACCCTATTAATGCTAAAAAATCAACAAATAATTATATAAGAATATTCCGTAACATATTTTGTAATATTCTAATACTCTCCCTTAAGCTGAAACATATATATTAATCATACCCAGCTTATTACGAAAATATTCAATTCGGGTTCCATTCAAAGTCTTTGTGAATATATCACCTAATTATTTCTATATTTTCACATAACTGGTTTTCTATCAAGTTCTATTGAATTTTCTCACGAATGAAGTGATAATTAATCTCGATATATTTGGTTCTTTTATGGTACATCGGATTTAGACATATAACAGGTATTTTGATTATCACACCAGAGTTTTGCAAGTAATATAAGATTCAAACTCACTTCCACTAAGAGATGTTGTATCCACAAGATTTCACATGTGGATTAGGTCATGCCTCTGTATTCAGACTCTACACTGGACTGGGATAAAACAATCTGCTTCTTACTCCTCTATAATATTAGATTCCAACTAACGAAAACACAATAATCTGTGGATCTTTTATCAATTTTAAATTCAACCCAATCAGCATCTGTAAAACATTTAATGTGAGTGTGTCGATGATTGTTAAACAATATACCAAATCCTATATCACAATTTAGGTAGCATAAAATCTGTTCCAAAACTTTCCAATGTTTGACTGTAGGTGCAAATATAAATTGTTTAACAACACTGACAGGATATGTAATATCTAAACGAGTCACTGTGAGATAATTTAGTTTCTCAACTAATCGTCTGTACCTTTCCAGATCATCAACCATCAACTTTAGTAAGGTCTAATTTGGTACAATTGGTGTGTTACATAATTTAGCTCTCAATTTTTCAGTTTCTATAAGTAAATCAAGTACATACTTTTTATGAGACAAGAAAATGTCTTTATTTCTTCTTGTTACTTCTACTCTCAAAACATATTTTAACTTACTCAAGTTTTTGGTGTGAAACTTAGTATGTAAGAATGATTTGAGAGAGTAAATCAAGTGCAGAAACAATTCTTCAGTTTCTGTAAGTAAATCAA